AGATGCCACTGGGCTAGCTGCTATAGCGCACACATCTTTCTTTGGTTATCTGCTCTTGTTTTACTCCTGGCTTCTAAAGGCTGGCAAACTCTTTCTTGCCAGCTCAGCTATACATTTCCAAAAGATGTATCATATTAAAAAGTTGTATTGAAGAAGAATTTTTCAGGCTATCCATTCTATAATATTACCAGAAATGTAAGCCCTATGCAAAATATTGTGTATATATACATTTGTGCATTTTTTCTGACTCTAAAGGGATTAAAACCACTACCATGCATTCTGCTTCAGCCTTATACAAACTAAAATAGCTAACTTTACCTGATGTTTTACAGATCTCCAGGCAAGAGGAAATTCTGCAGATAACCATTTAAAGTTGATTTCCATTCTCAAATGTCACCTGATTTCTACATTCTGGGACTACCTTGGCATTATCTCCATATACCAATCTAACTTTCAAACACTTTCAACACAGGGAAATTAAAAACAATCTTTTTGCACTTTCTAATGTCTCAACATGCCATTAATTAAGATCTATCTGCTACCCAAAGAATACCAGGACTTTTGTAATGCCAACTTTCTGTTTCTCCAAACAGATGAATGAGGATATTGCCACTGCAGATGTATTCGGATGTTAAAAAAGCCTTTTCTTAACTAGCAAGTCTATCTGCCAAAATAATTAAAGGAAAAAAATTCTGGCTTTTGCATCATAAACTGTTGATGTTGTAGTTGTTTTTTCATTAACATGTTAAGATTCAGTCAATTAATTTTATCAGAAAATTAGCACTCACTGAATTTGCAAATGGCAAGGATACAGACAGGATGGAGATGGATAAAAATGACAAAGTAAAAGCAAGGAACAAGTTGCTGTGGAAGCCTGCAGGTGTGAAATGAGAAGAGCAGTGCAGGCTACGCAAGAGACTCACGCAAGAAAATAATGAGAAGAAGGGAGCCTCAGATACGCCAGTTCACAGAGCTGGAGGACCAGATGTCATGAACATAAGATGCAATTCAGTGATCTTATTGTATCACTGAGACATGACGAGATGGACTGAAAGACTTGATTGTGACGAGGCAAAGGTACGCCCAATTCTAAAGAAATAGACTGGTTGTAGGAGGGTATGTGGAGTAAGTATATATGTCAGCATTCAAGCCCATAGGCAACCCGCAAACTTAAAGGTCGAAGTACACTGGAAATAAAAAGGGCAAGAAACAGAAAAAGGAGTGAAACACTGAAAGTATGCAACAAGTTGCCTGGTCAAACTGACTAGACCAAGTGGTTTTTAAACTTGGGGTAACATGCATGATACTTGGGTAATAGAGATTTCCAAGGAAAGCAATGGTTTCAGGAAATAAGCAAAAAAGGGAATCAAATCTAGAGCTTTATTGTTTATTGCTGCATTAGACACATGAAGAAAACATGCTGATAGGATGGAGACAGTTCATTAAGCCAGAAGGAAAGGAAAGCTCTGCAGAGGTTTCATCTTGATCTTGAACAGAATTCCAACAAGCAGTCTAAGTGGAGGGCAAAGGGCAAGCAGAGGCTGGGAGGCAGGGTGCAGTGCAGAGGATATGTAGGGCCTGGTGTGGTCAGATGACATTAGGATGCGTGTGCATGTGCACGTGTGTGTGTTTGGGTGGAAGTGGCACTGGGAGGTGGGGAAGGTGGGAGAGGAGGCTGGGGACTAATGTTATAGGGCTTGGATAAGAGAGCTCTGCTCAAAAATGTGAATCATTTTGTAGGTACAAGAAGATTTTCAAGCAGAGAAGTGACATGACCCAGTCTTTGTGTGCATATAATAGAAAAGATAACTAATTGGGCAGATGGCAGGGGACGTGGAATTATTGACAAGGTCACTGACAACAGAATAGGAAGAGGAATCAAATATGATTCCAGAATTTCTTTTTTAAAAAATCTTTGGTTAACTAGGTGGCAGGTGATGCCTTTATAAAAGTAGGGGACAACAAACGATAAATGCTGGAGAGGCTGTGGAGAAAAGGGAACCCTTCTACACTGCTGGTGGGAATGTACTTTGGTGCAGCCATTATGGAAAACAGTATGGAGATTCCTCAAAAGACTAAAAATAGACTTACCATATGATCCAGCAATTCCACTTCTGGGCATAAATCCAGAGGGAACTCTAATTTGAAAAGATAGAGGCACCTGAATGTTCATAGCAGCAATAGGTATAATAGGCAAGACATGGAAACAACCTAAATGTCTGTCAACAGATGACTGGATAAAGAAGTAATGGTATATATACACAATGGAATATTACTCAGCTGTAAAAAAAAATAATAAATGCCATTTGTAGCAACATAGATGGAGCTGGAGAATGTCATTCTAAGTGAAGTAAGCCAGAAAGAGAAAGAAAAATACTATATGGTATCACTTATATATGGAATCAAAAAAAAAAAGACAAAGGAACTTATTTACAAAACAGAAAGAGACTCACAGACATAGAAAACAAATTTATGGTTAGCAGGGGGGAAAAGGGATGGGAAGGGATAAATTGGGAGTTCGAGATTTGCAGATATTAACTACTACATATAAAACAGATAAACAACAAGTTTATGCTGTATAGCACAGGGAACTATATTGAAGATCTTGTAGTAACTTATGGTGGAAAAGAATATGTAAACTAATATATGTATGTTCCTTTATGACTGAAGCATTGTGCTGTTCATCAGAAATTGACACAACATTGTAAACTGATTGTACGTCAATAAAAATACATTAAAAAAAAAAGTACAGGACAGAGAAGAAACAGATTCCGAGGGGAAGCAAGGTCTCAGAATCCTGGTCCTGGTGCCTGCCATGCTCTCCCTCTCAGCAAACACCCACATTTAGCTCACTGTACCTTCTCTCCCACACCTAGGAGGCTAAAGATCATTGAAGAAAATCACCTGGTCTTGGTAGTTTCCCAGCTCAGTGCACCTGAACAGTGTTTGGTAAAGTCTTGTATGGTGGGTTCCTGGTCAGCTCCCTCCTGAGCCCTTTCACTATCCCCTCCCCCCAACCCCCTCCGCGTCTGCCCTCAGCAGCAGGTCTGCTTCCTCTCACAGTGAACATGGGTAGCATCAGGTGTGAACTCTCAGCAGCAGCGCCAATTCCCTGTGGTGCTTCTCTGTCACAAAGGGAGAGGTGTTTACCCTCCATGTCTTGGCCTCACTTTTCACTTAAACTCTGTATTCATTCCCACCTTCCTTATCAAGACCTTGCAAAATAATCAGCTCCTCTCATTCCTGTATTTTCAACTTTTCCTTCTGGAAAGTCTCTTATCTCAACACAGGAACATGTTAAAATCACTTCCACCTTAAAAACAAAGAAAAGGCCTCCTCTGACCCTGCCTTCTGTGCCTCTCAGACCTCTCCCAGCCAAGCTTCTCACAGAGAGACACTCTACGCCAGTTTTCCACTCCCTTCTCCACCACCTGCAGTCTGGCTTCCCCTCCTCAAAGCTACAGATACTAGTTTCATTAAGGTCATCAATGATATCCTGGTTGCCAAACCCAAAGACTTTATAGTTCTCTTTTTCTTGACTTTCCTACACCCTTTATGACTTTCACCATTTAGCCTGCTCTGCCTGCTTCCTCTGCCCTCTGCTTTACCTCCAATCTCCCTGGCCACATCTTCTTGGTTATTCTGCCAGGGGTCCAGCCTGGGTTCTCCTCCCAGTCTGTGACTTCTCCTGGGCCATCTCTCCCACTGATGACTCCCAAATCTCCACCTCCAGCCCTGACTCCTTTTACTTGTCCCCCCTGGTATTTCTGCCTGGATGTCTCTCAGGGACCACAAACTCAACATGTGATTATGTGAACTCACCATCTTTCCCCTTAAAACCAGCTCCCCTCAATATTTCCTACTAAATGGCATTATGTTCCACCAAGTGCCCAAGCCAGAAATTTATATGTCATTCTAGATTCTTCTCATACTTCCAATATCAAAAGTTTACTCATTCATTTATTCATTCAACAAATACTTCCAAGTGTGTCAGCTATGTAACACAAAGTGCACTGAGCACTGAGGGTTCAACTGTGAACAAACTGAAATCTTGCTCTCATAAAACTTACCATTCAGGGGGACAGACCCACATGAGCATCTTAAAGAAAAATCAAGAAGGGGAAGAAAATCAAGAGAGGGCAGGGGTAGAGAAGACTGTGGTGAGAGGGTGGTCAGGAAAGGACACCTTGAGATGACATTTGAATAGAACTTTAGAGTAGTGGGGGATCTGGGAGAAGGGGGATCTGGACAGAGGGAACAGACAGTACACAGCGCTGAGGCAGGAGCAGCCTGGCACATCTGAGGACAGCACCGAGGCCAAGCTGGCTGGAGGAGAGCTGGGGAGAGAGGGATGCTAGGAAACAGGTTGGAGAGGCAGTCAGAGCAGTAGGCCACAGTGAGGACTTGGGTTTTTATCCCCAACCGGATGAGAAATCTTATAGGGAGTGAAGCAGGGGAATGACCTCATCAGATCTACATTTTATAAGGGCTTCCTTGGCTTCGATATGTGGGAAGAAAAGGGCTGACGTGAAAGAGCAATTAAGAGGCTCCTGCAGCTTCCCAGACACCAAGCTCTGCCCTGATTTCCTGTCCTGGCTAGTGCCTCCCTTCAGTTCTGGCTCTGTAGCCTCTGCCAAGGGCACTTGCCACCTCTTACTTAGACCATTTTAACACCACTGCTCTAATCCAGACTCCTCAAGGCTGCCATAGTGACCTCTCCAATCTGCAAGCTGGATCCTGACTCTCTTTGCTTACCACTACACTCACGATAAAACCCCCAATCTTGAAAGTCCCTTTTCTGTCTCACCCAGAGGCTCCTTCCACTCCAGCACAGTTCAGCCATGCTGACTTCTGGGTCCTTTCGGTGACAAAGTCTTTGTACCTCAGGGCCTCCACACACTCTGTTCCCTTAGCCTGAAATGTTCTTTCTCCCCACTCTTTGCCTGGCTTATCCATTTATTCTTCAAGTGTAGGTTTAAATACCACTGCTTGTGCCCCGATCCCACTGCCACTTCACAACTGTGGGCCATTCCCACACTTACCTGTTGAGAGTTACTTGATACTAAACTGGGAAAGACAGGAAGCTTCTTGAGTGTTTTCTTCTGTTGTTTATATAGCACAAGGAACAGTGTCTGGTCCCCAAATCCTATTTTTTGAATGGATGGATGATGTTGCTCTCCAACTTACATGCTGCCTTCTCCACAAAATTTAAACTTTCTAGCAGGGCCAACAAAGGAATTCATGATCTCCTCCCTGCTTTATCTACAACCACCACCCCACTTGAACCTCAAAATCCTGATATTCCAAGTTCTGTGAAGTTCCCTACAAAGATCAGGTATCTGTTATCCTGGGACTTTGTACACAGTCTTCTCTCTGCCTGGAAACCCCTTCTCCTCTTGAGTGCTTGTGAACACCAGCAGAGACTCATTGAGCGCTTATGCTGAGCCTCATACTGCAAGGTGGTGAAAGATGGGAAGGTAGGTAAGAAGATGAGTCAGTCAATGGCCCATCAGTGGGAGATGAGTGGTGAGGAAAAGGGTAAAGCGACAATGATGGAGAGCGGTAGGGAGGGCATGAAATTAGAGGCAGGAGGGCTAGGGAAGACCATCCTGAGAAAGCAACCAGTCAGATCTTGAATCAAATCAGCCATGTGGCTCTCCAAGGAAGAAGCACTGCAGGCAAAGGGAACAGAGCACAGAGGCTGAAGAGGCCTGGAGCAGAAGTCCTGCAGACCCCCATGATGCAGGGGCAGAGAAAGCAGAGCTAAAGAAGGTAGCTAGAGAAAAGTGATCCAGAAAGTAGACTCATGTAGGGCCCCCTGAGTCCAAAAAGTAGACGAAAAGTCAAAACGCTGCATACATGTTTGGTGAACTGAGGCCAGGGACAATCTGTGGCACTGAATTTTCTGAGGCTATGCTGCAAAGGGAGTAAGAAATAAATGGGAAGCAAGAACGTAGCCACAGCAATTACAGATGACTCCTTCAAGATGTCTTGATAGACAAGGGAAAATGAAAGTTCCTGGGGCTGTAGAGGGTTGAGGAAGGTTTTGTAGGATGGAGACTGAAGTTTGTGAGAGGAGGAAACCAGGCCAGAGGGGAACACAAAGGAACTGGAGTAAGTGACTGGTGGGGCAAGAGCTTCCCAGAGGTGAGAACAGAGCCAGGAAGAGGTTTTGGCTGGTTGCTGGGATTTGCATGAAACTTTTGCTCATGAGCTCCAGGACTCCCTATTCTTTTCCTTCCCAGTAGCAGATCCAGAGCCTTCATTTCAGCTCTTTGCTCATTAGAAGCATCTTTCTGGTTCTCTGGTCTAAGCCTAGCACAAGGGGGCACAGCCTCTCCAGCTCCTACTTCTGCACTGCCTCCAAATGCAATCAGTCATGACAAGAACTCTCAGCAGGTGACAAATATCATACAGGGAAGTCACAGAGTTTAAGAATTCTATGAAATTCTTAGGGGCTTCTCCTACTCTCTTGTACCTATTCCCTAAGTGAGAAGGGCTCCCAGGAACAGTGCTCCCTAGTCCATCCTCCTTGGGAAAGGGAAGGGGGCAAGCCAGAAAACAGAGGCAAACCAGCAGGAAGACTGGCGCCCTCTACAGCAGAGTGGGTAGTGTGCATTCCTGAGCCCTCAGGCTGATGTCTATTTATCTGAGCACTTTCTCATACCTGGACAGTAGGACAGATTTTTCTTTTTTTGAGTCAAATGGCTGCCCTCTGTGGGGATGAGAAATATAAGAAGGTGGCTGAGCACAGAAGTGTGCTCCTTGGGTGGGAATTTCATGGCTCAGAGATGCAAGCAGCAAGGAGGAGAGAGAGGCAAGAGTGAGTACCCAGCCCAGCATTCCATCAAGACCTGATAAATTATGGTTAAGGTGTAAATTCCAATTTCTAGAAAGCCTAAAGGATGAATAGATTTATTTATTCTTATTCATTCATCCATTGAATCATTTCCTACCCCCCTAATGTTTTTATAGTATATTCACAATATACTATGAATATAACTATCAACTAGTAATTTCAGAACATTTTCATCACCCCTCAAAGAATTCTTAAACTTATTAGCAGTCATTCCCCACTCCCCCTTCTCTCTAGCCACAATCCTTTATTTTTTATTTCTTATTTTATTGAGTTATAGTCAGTTCACAATGTTGTGTCAAATTCCAGTGTAAAGCACAATTTTTCACTTATACACGAACATATATATATTCATTGTTGCATTTTTTCACCATGAGCTACCACAAGATCTTGAAATATTTCCCTGTGCTATACAGTATAATCTTGTTTATCTATTCTATATACACCTGTCAGTATCTACAAATTTCGAACTCCCAGTCTGTCCCTTCCCACCCCCATCCCCACTAGCATCTACAAGTTTGTATTCTATGTCTATGAGTCTGTTTCTATTTCGTATTTATGTTCATTTATCTTTTTCTTTTCTTTCTTTCTTTTTGTTTAGATTCCACATATGAGCAGTCTCATATGGTAGTTTTCTTTCTCTTTCTGGCTTACTTCACTTAGAATGACATTCTCCAGTAACATCCATGTTGCTGCAAATGGTGTTACATTGTCAGTTTTTATGGCTGAATAGTTTTCCATTGTATAAATATATCACATTTCTTTATCCAGTCATCTGTTGATGGACATTTAGGCTGTTTCCATGTCTTGGCTATTGTAAATAGTGCTGCTATGAACATTGGGGTGCAGGTGTCATTTTGAAGTAGGGTTCCTTCTGGATATATGCCCAGGAGTGGGATGACTGGGTCATATGGTAAGGCTATTCCTCCTCTTTTGAGGAATCTCCATACTGTTTTCCAGAGTGGCTGCACCAACCTGCATTCCCACCAGCAGTGTAGGAGGGTTCCCTTTTCTCCACAGCCTCTCTAGCATTTGTCATTTG